AGCCTTGGCAGTGCTTCCTAAGAACATGCACCTGTGACTTGCAGACTTGACCTCCCCTCAGCTAAGGCTGTGGACCGTGAACCTCTGCTTTGTTCTCCACTGGTCCCCTCGCGATTGGATCTCCTTATTCCTTTACCTTGGAACCATCCTAAAGGAAAAAATAATTCCACCTGGCAAGAGAATAGAAAAGATACATGTTCCCTTTTATCCAGAGCTCACGGCATTTTAAATGCAGTTTCCTATTTCCCAACTTGACAAGGGCTCATTACTCAGTGTTTGAAAGCCTTCTGGTGGCCCTGGAGGAGAAAGAACCCTAGTAACTACAAATAGATAAAACAATTCCATAAGTGCAGGAGAGTCAAACTAAAAATATGCTCTATCCAGCCGTCAGACCATCTGCCTAGAAAGGCAGGAGCAGCTAGAGGAAAAACCAAGCAGCCACAATGATGGCTCTTATCTGAAGCACTGAACCTCAGCTATACAACCAAACAGTGTGGGACACTGTCCTGCCTAGAAAGGCAGGAGCAGCTAGAGGAAAAACCAAGCAGCCACAATGATGGCTCTTATCGGAAGCACTGAACCTCAGCTATACAACCAAACAGTGTGGGACACTGTTTTTTAAGGCTGGGGTAAAATAAGTTAGGGGTGTCTTAGATGTACTCCTCACAACTCTTGAGCGCGATGCTCTCTGGCAACAGCCCTTCTACCCAGAATTCATCCAGAGACAGGCGGTTAAGAAACATTTGCTGAGGGCCCATAGTGTACTCTGTCACCATTTCACTGCAGGACAGTGCTTCCATAACAGTGGGAAAACAGGGGCCCATGAGAGTCTACAGAGAAACACTGAACTTGTCTACTAGTCATAACCTTACCAGGCCTCTGAGTATCCCTCAAACATGCTTCCACTCGACCTCCTTCTGATTCCCTAGGCCAAAAGGAATGTTTTTTCTGAATTTCCATAACCCTCTGTTCTTCCTTAAAGACTCTTGTAACTCTGCAGTATAATTATAATTACTTAATATTATTATTTGATTACCTCTTTAAGACCACAAAGCAAACTCCCCAAAGGCTGGGTTTCAGTTTTACTTCTAAATCTTGAAAACACCTTTATCAGGCTGTAGCATAAGGAAGGGGTATGACCACTTTGTCACCTGTGCTCTTCTCTGGATCTGCACCCTCTCCTGGACCTCCCTCCCCGGTTCCCACTTCATCTTCCTGAAGACAAGCACCAACTCTGTGCTAGCATGGTCCACGTTCCTGAGCTTCAGGGTCAGATGTTCAATCGGCTACAGGTTAAGTCCAGATCAAAAAGGCTCAAAAATGTCTCAAAGCCAACTCAGAAACCCACAGCTGGCCCCATCCTCTCCTTTCCCCATGATCTCTGAGTGAAAGACTCCTGCTCTGCCAGGCACACAAAAGAAAACTTGGGTGTTATTTTGAACTGCTCTATCTTTTTGATTTCCACCTACATAATCAGTCACTAAATCCTGCTAATTCTAGTTAAACCACACCTTTCACTTTCAACTCCCTAATTAGTTTGCTGAACCAAATTAAGAGAAAGGATTAACCAATTTGGGGTTGAGAAGGGAACCGAGTTTCAGGTAGACACTGCATAATACCCAAATACACTCTTCTCATTGTGTAATTGTCAGCTGCAACCTTTCCTTGTCTCTCCAAAGTGAAAACTACAACACCCACATTATTATCAAAGCTGACTGCATGATCCAGCTGCAGCTATCTTTTCTAATCTGCAATGCCAGATTCCTTTGAACACTGCAAGAGGCTTGCAAAGTTAAAACACATTTGCTTTGGAAAGAAATCGTTCACATGATCAATTTGGCTGCTCTGAGGACATGGCATTTTTATTTTCTTCTTAATAAAATCAAGACAATCTGGCCGGGGATTTTCAAGGAACTCAAAAGATCCATCCGGCAGACTGGCGAGAGCTAAACCATGAAAGGCCTGAATACTCACCAAGAGGCTGGCTTTGTCTCTGTGGAGGTGGAGGTGGCCATTTACTTTCCAGTCACCCTCATTCTCTTCCGTTGGGTTTTCTTTTCCAGTCTCAATTCTTTCTCCCCAGCTGTGACCGTTCCTCTGTCTGCCCAATCAAGTGAATCTGAACATGGTAGGTTTAAGTGCTTTCAACCACAACTGCCACTTGCTTAGGTTTCAGCATGAAAGTGCTACTTCCCTTCCTTGCAGGCTTTTCAGTTCCATGAATATCTCTACACCTCTTAGAACTCTGACAAGGAATATAATAAAGTAAGATAATTCTATCAGAAAAATCAAAGCCACTAGTCTGGTTCCATGAGCGTCAGTATGTCTGTCTACAGAATAACCTCTTCAAGCTCCTATTCAAGAAAACCCAAAGGGAAGGTGCATGCTGGAGGCGATGTTCCGAATGGATTTCTAGGTTGTCTAGTTCAAAGCCATCCTGAAGGTTCTTTTAAAAGTTTTAAAGTTTCCAGTTCAAACATCAGTGCCTTGGCTCTGAAACAGACACAAGGAATAGATTATTTCAGAAACCCATGAGAAAGCATGTGACCCAACAGTGTTAAACAAATGGTATATTTCAAAAGAGCTTTCTACAGTAGTGAAAATTACGTTTCAAAATAAAAAAGGGAGGGGAGCAGAGACTTCAGAATGTCTCAGTTTCTTGAACAGTTATGGTAAATATAGCACACCTTACAGAAGATAAGATTAAATGATTAATGTGAAAAAGCTCTAGACGTTAAGGACAAATATACAAATAAAGCGGCTGCTATAGTAAAAATGGAACCCAAATTAAGGAACTGTCACCTACACAGCCCTAAAGTAATCTGAACATGCAGAATTCTAGAGCTGGGGAAAAAAAAAAAAAAAAAAAAAAAAACCAGAAAGAGAACTTAAATCAAATGGCTTTCAAACTCCCGCAAAAGAAAAACAATTCAGCGTATCATGTAATTTCAGTGTCAGAAGGGGCCCTGGCATCATTTACTGTAAACCTTGTCTCCCGCACTCTCCTCCAAAAACTACCTTGACTACCTCTGGCTTACTCCCTCCAGAGACAGGCGGTTCACAGTGTTAAATTTACCCTTCCACCAAGCTAAAATCAACCTGCCAGTAACCTCCACTCACTGGTCTGGATAACACTCTCCAGGAAAACACAAAACAAGGTCTACTTCTGCCACATGACAATCCTTCAGTCACTTTAAAACTGTACTGCTATTGTCACTTTCTTCAAGTTTCATGTCTCTCAAATTCTTGCTCACCATCCTGCCATCTGTGGGAACAATACAGTTTGTTAAAGAGAGAAGTCCCTAGAGAGGACCCCACTGAATCTTTGATAGCCTATAAAATCTCTATTTTTTCCCAGCTCTAGACATCTTGGGGTGCCCCTCCATAGGATCATATTCATCGTATTCTATGGAGCATTTGGGGGAGAGGGGGACATCTCAGTTCCTGGAACCAAGGACAGAAGCCTGAAATCCCCTATCCCTTGATCCAGAGAACTGGGCCCTACATTGACAGGGTCCACTCTCTTATCTCTGAAAGGTCCAGAAGGGGCCAGTAACGGCCCTAGGTTACGAACCGGTGTCAGGATGTGACCAGAAAAGGCTCTGGTAGCCTGGGAAATGACAGTAACGACCGGGAGAGGCAAGAAGTGGCTGGTAAAGGCCTGGGAGTGGTGGGAGTGGTGTAGGAAGTGATCTCAATGGGTTAGCAGGACTGGCAAAGGGGCGCTAATGGCTGCAAAAGGCCAAGAAGCTGCCGGACACAGCCCCTGATGTCGGGAAGGGATCGGTAACCGCAAGAGGGCTCTGCAAAGTGTCTGGCCTCAGCTCCAGTGGACTGGAACATGGTGGGCAAAGGCCTAGGGGTCGAACGGAACCCGGTCACGCCCTCGGCTGGGGTCCCGCCCTCGGCCTGGGGTCCCGCCCTCGGCCTGGGGTCCCGCCCTCGGTGTCCCCGCGCCTCCGAGCACCGCCCACCCACCGGAGTACCCAGCAGCCTGGCGCTCGGGGTTCTGGACTCAGGACCCGGAATGTGCGAGGTGGCGGGACGACCCCGACTCCTGCCCGGTACCTACGCGCACCGCAGAGGCCCTAGGTCTGGCGCCGCCCCGCCCACCGCCCCCTAAAGTTTCAGGCGAGCCGGCGCGCGGCGATGTCTTAGGGCCGAGTGCGCCGCGTGCTGATGACGTCAGAGGCCAATGGCGCTGGCCTCGGTGGCTGCGTTAGACCAGAGGCAGGCGGCGGCGGCGGCGGCGCCGCGGAAGAGACGCTCGGCGGTCCGGCGACTGCGGCGCAGGGAGGCAGTGGCTTGCGGCCGGGAGGCGGACCTCGAGGTGGACAGCGAAGTCTTGTTTCGTCTCATCCGGGACGCTGAGTGAGTTCGGGGTCTGCCCTGGTTCCTATCCTCGCACCGCTGGGCACCTCTCTGAACGTCAGTCTCTTCAACTATAAAGTGGGGATATACTGCAAATCCTTTAAGAGGTCATTCTGAGGATTCAACGGAGGTAACCAGTCCATTACAGGTCTGGATCATAGTGAGAGCTCAATAATGGTTGTCAGTCTTGTTATTGCAGTTACAGCTGTGTGACCTTGGGCAACTTGTAATCTCTATTCCTCAGTTTTCTCATCTGTGAGATGGGGATGAAAATAGTACCTATGTAGGCTTGTTTTGAGGATTCAGTGAATTAGTAAACTTAAACCATTTCCTGACACGTGGTAAGCGCTGTGCCAGCGTTTGCTATTAAATTATACCAATGTTGATTATTACTGGTACTGTTAACACTAGGGAAGTGGCATGAACATGTGATTGTCATCATTATTAGCATCATTAGTTTATTCAGCAGTTACTATGTTCCTGGCACTTGCTTAAGGATTCTACACACTTTATCATTGTTGAACGTCACAGTCACGCTAGGATCCTGGTAGGTCACGAGTCTCAAAGAGACATAGATAATGTATGGAACTAGATTTAAAACCCAGATCTTTGTGACTACAAAACCAGTGCTACCAGCTCTCCATTATTCTGGGCACTTATCCCACCCCCAATGCCCCAGTACCTTGCTCTGTACCTCGGAAAGCACATACACAGTGCCTGACACAGAGGAAGCACTCAGTAAGTGTTACCCACTGTCGGTATTTAGTATTATTACCTTTATTTGCAGTCCTATTAGGCTCAATAAATAACAATTTTAGTTAGCACTTCCTCAGATCAGCATCTGAAGGGCCATCACAGGCACAAAAATTAGACTAATTTTGTGTGCTCCTCTCGCCTAGAATTAAGGGCAAGAGGCAGTGGTGACCCAGAGGTTAACTCTATCTAGAAAGAAGTTGCTAACCAGCTGGCTGAGCCTGAAAAAAAAGACAGCAGCTACTTGGAAGGTGCCAATGAAAGTGAGTGTGCCTAGGGGTTTGGAGAACCCTGAAGGCACTTTTCATATCCCTTGATATTGTTACCTAAACTTCTTCAGTGTTTCCTAGGATCTCCCTGCTCCTCCCAGCACCCCTGAGTGTGTTGGGGTCACCACTGTTGTGTGTAGAGAGGGGCCCAACTCTTTACATGCCGATCTGCAGTTACAAAGTATTACCATGTACATTAGTGCTCTCCATTACCTTCTGTGAGGAACATGGGGCAGCCTCTGGGCAGATTTTTTTCAATTCTCTCTACTTCTCTCTGTGCCCTCTAAACACAGTCTCTGGCTTATGGCTTGTTGATTCAAATTCAGTTTATTTTAATTCACTGTTAACTTTGTTTTGCTCTGGGTTTGCGGAAACCAGTTGACTTAAATAAGGAAAGCCCAGGCATTTGGTTTTGTCTCTTCTTTTACTTTTCCCTTAGGATTATTGAAGGCTATTTATTGGGTACCTGCCATGCGCATGGGCACAGGCACTGTGCTAAGAGGGTTAACCTATTTAATTGCTCCTGTAACACTCCATGATAGGTATGATGTTAATCCCCATTTCAGAGATGAGGAAACTAAAGCTCAGAAAGGCTAAATCTGAGTATTCAACAACCAATTTATTGAGCTGCCACTCGGTACTAGGCTCTGTTGTGTATGAAGGATACAGAAAGACCCAGACTCATTCCTGGAAATCAGGGGCCTCCTCCAGGAAGCCCTCTCTCCTGCCCTCTCTGAGCTCCAGCAGTACACACTCTGGCTCTGGACGTGTTCAGTATATATCCCCCTCCTATTATTCAGGAAAGGTGAGCTCTGCATTGAGAGGCACTTAATCCTCCGTGCATCCAGTTCATGGTGAGGAGAGTCACTGTTGTGCAGCCCTGAAATGGATGGTAGATGATTGTGCCATTTTTTTCTCAACAGGGAGGACCTGCTTATCTCTGATTTCTGGAGTTCAGCACTAGGTAGGTACCACCTGGCTGAGGGTACGAGTGGGAGGAGGGCCCAAATGTGGGCAAAGAAGGGAATCCAATCTTCATTTGAGAATATTTTACTTCAGAGTGGTGTACAATGCTGGGTTCTAATTCTGACTTCCCCCTTAACTGCTGTATGTCTTTTGGCATTTAACTAACTCTGACCCTCAGTTTCTTTATTCATGAAATGGGGATGGTGATATAAATATCCTGTAATGTGGTTTTGAGAATTAAATGAGGCTGGTAAGTGCTTAGAACAGCACTTGTCTGCTATACAGAAGTCAATAAATGTTAGCTGTCATTATCATTATTGCTGAAATTTATATTTATCCTGCTCTTTTTTCCTTGATATTACAGTGTATATTTTTTCTCAGTTATAATCTCTTCCTAAACATAATGTGTGGCAACATAATGTTTATGCATGAAGTGTGAACCTACTATAGTTATCATTTTTATTGAGGGACATTTAATTTTTTTTCCTTTATTTGGTTTTCAGTTATTCTTATACATAACTTTACAATGAGCAACTTTATGCAGAAAGCTTTTACCAAATTTAGGATAATCCTCGTAGGATATATTCCCAGTAGTGGAATTGTTAAGTGAAAGGAAGTGACCAACTTGATATCCATTGTCAAGTTGTTTTCCAAAAGCTTTTACCATCTATTTACCAGCAGGGACATAAACAGCCGGCTTTTCGTGCAACTTTTCCTAGCCTGAGGTCTTATTTAAATATATCTTTGCAAATTTGATAAGGGAAAGTTGGTTATGTTGTTGGAATGTATGGCTTTTTGTTTTTTTGTTTTGCGTACAGATTTATTCAACTAAATTCAGTAGCAGTATAATAAAAGGCAGACAAAAGAACCCATCTCTATATGAGAAGATTTAAACAGAGTATTTTTCATGAGACTCTTGAAGTCCCCACCCTACTTTTTTCCTTTGAACTTTTTCCACATTAAACATTCTTACTCCCAGCGATTTATAGTGTGATTTGAGAGCTATGTTCCTCTATTCTTTGTTACCATCAAAAAAATGGGTATTTCAGAGTATAGCCTGTGTTTTCGCTGGTACTTCTGTTAAATTAGAATGTTTCACTGTGCCCATGAATGAATCCTTTTTTACTTAAGACATCTCCTGGGTTTTCAGCATGGGAGTCCAGGGGCCAGGACAGCCTCTCAGTTTGTGGTAGACATGGCTGTGTGTCTGAGGCATGTTTGGGAGTGAGGCCGGTAGCTTTTCTCTCTGAAGAGTTGACGCCGTTACTGCCCTGCTCCCTTATTCCCTGGGTCTGTGGGTTTCTCTTGTGGATGACTTGGTTCACAGGGTCAGAGCATACCCTCTGATTATATTTGGGGGCCTTCTTTTTCAGAAACCATCAACAGATGTCTTACAAAACATCTGGAACAACTAAAGGCTCCTGTGGGGACTTTTTCAAAAGTGCTTGGAAACCTGCATCTTGACTCATTGCAGGATGAGTCAGATGTGGCCCCTGGCTCCATCCCAGGAGAGAGCCTGATCCCGGGAACCTACCATATGAAGTGTGTGTGTTATGGTATTGGAAACTTTGCCACCTGTGTCATAGCTAGAAACCAGCTAGCATTTTTGCTTCTCCTCCTGGAAAAGTGCCAGGTAAACAAGTTTTTGGATTCATCTTCATCTCTCCCTCCCCTGGTTTTGCACATGGTGTGCAAGCAGATGTTGTGTTGAAATAAGCAACTCATTCTTCCCTTCTAGATTCCCAGAAGTCACTGCTGGGTATATGACCCTCTGTTTAGCCAACTTGAAATAGCAGTTCTTAACAACCTTGGTATGAGTGTTCTCAGTGAGAACGAGGTAAGTGGTTTAGGAAAGGGAAGTGGGGAGGGTTTTATAAATCCGACCAGACTGACCCCAGGCTCTGCCCATGGACGCCAGTTTTCTTTGAAATGGCGGTCATCCCTCTCCACTGCTCGCTTGCTTTTCCAGTGCTTATGTGACCAATCAATTACATACATTTTGGCTTCCTTTCTGCCCATCAGAAAAATTTAAATTACACAAATAGCAGGAACCAGAACATGTTAGGATTGCAAAATTCTTGTGAGAATTTTGTCCAGAAATTATGCTAAGTTGGTATTTACTATCACTGTTAAAAAATAAAGATGGCACAGTCTGGGAACCTCAAATGAGGTCCATCTGGTTGGAATGACCCTGTCCCAGGGGAGGTAATGAAAAGAGATGGAACATCTCCCCTCTGCATTTGGGAGCCTTCTCTTTCAGAGAAGTATAGCCCAGTTACACCCATAGCACCTGGCTGAGTTGTCAATTAATCCTCTGCCCACCCCTGCACCCCACAAAACCTCTGGAAAAAAGAAATTCATTTCACAAGCAGAGGGATAAAGCCAGTATGAGCAAATACCTGTGAATTTAGTTTTGTGTTATCTTGGAGATTATAGAATCATTTGACTCCTCTGTGTGTCACAAAACTGCCATATCATTGCTTATGACGTAGCATGAAAATTAGGCCCAGCTGAGAAGAGCCATTCCCCAGTATGGGAAAGTCCCAAAATACTGTCATTCATTTCAGATCTCTGAGTGCCTGCTCTGTGCTAGGCAGGGAACTTTAGAGAGACCAGGAGCCAACCTCTGTCAGGGATCCCATGGTCACAACAGGACATATGGACTGTATACAGTAAATCATGAATGAAACAGTGAGGTAGAACCTTGTGCTAGGAGCTTAGACAGGAGAGGTTTGGAGGGATCGAAGATTTCCTAGGTCTGAGCTGGGATTTGAAGGTCTACCAGGAGTTTGCTAGAGGGAGAGAACCAGGATCGCAGGCAGCTTGTGCAGAGCTGGCTGTTCAGGAAACCACTACCAGTTTGTTATTAACATAAGGGAAGTTGCAAGAGAGGAGCCTTTTGTTCCCTGCTAAGGAATTCAGCTATAGAACAGTGGTTCTCAGGAGCAGGTGATTGAGCCCTCCAAGGGACATGTGAAGAGGACTCAGTTATGATGAGGATCTGCAGGAAGTGACCTGGGAAGTGTGGAAGATCGCTGAGCACAGTACATGGGGAACAATAACCACTGCCTCTCCTCCTGTCCTTGCTGTCACAGACCCAAGAAACCCCCTCATTAACCCAAAGCTTTATGTGTTCACGGAACACACATTTGTTAAGTAAACATGAGTCCTTTCTGAAAATCGTGATTTCCTTTTTTTTAGCTCCATATAATTGTATAGATTTCATATGCACTACTACCTGTTGCACAGTGGAGTTTAGTTTTTTGTTGTTGTCTTCAACTCATTATTAATCTCTACCCTTACCTCTCCCTCACCTTGCTGTAAGCAGTATCCCATGAGAGTGTTTACACCTGTTAATACTGTATCCCCAGGAAGGGAAACGGAGTATTTGTGGTGAGCCCACCATCTTTTACATGCTCCACTGCGGGACAGCCTTGTACAACAATCTTTTGTGGAGTAATTGGTCACTAGATGCTCTTTCCAAGATGGTCATCATTGGGAACAGTTTCAATGGACTTGATGAAAGGTGAGCCTGAGAATGCCAAGTCTGTCAGGTGTACCTCAGACCAATTCATAAGCAGAAATGTTTCCATGACTATTCTGTACTTGGAAATGCTCTTCCTAAAGACAGAAGCTGTCGGAACCCGGAGTCAAGCTGTGAAGCAAGTTAAGGAGTCTTTTGGCCAATAGTCCTTTCCTTCCCTTCCCTTCTGACAGACAGAAAGGCTTTGAAAAACAGGAAAACCATTTGATGTCTCTGCCTACAGCCCTGCACTCTCCTGTCTCACAGTGCTTAGGTGTCTGCTCTGTCATTTCTCTCTACTGATGAAATGGGCACTGGGGTATTCACATTTTCTACTATTTAACCTACTCAACACCCCAAGTTTTCTTCTGAATTCTTACTATACTTAGGTCATCTTGCCTTTCTGTGTGTCTTAATTGGGTAAAACTATTTTCATACCTCCTAATCATGTTTTCTTTTTATTTCTAGGTTGCTGACAAGGATTCTGCAGAAAAATTATCCCTACATTGCAAAGGTATGAGGGACTGGGACAGAAAAGGGTGTGAAATTATACTGTTTCTCCTTTCCTGTGAAGAATTCCTCCTTTACATGTATAGGAGGAAACTCAAGAGGGGTTAACTGAAGACAGTGATATGGGTCTGTGATCTAGAAAGCTATGGCATTTTAACGCATCTTAGTTTCTTCCTAATTTCCTTTGCTCTCCGTACAGTCCAACATATCCACTGCCCTTGGGGCTTCCAATTCATTGCACAAAAGCATTTAAAGCAAAATATCCTATTCCTTATTTTTCAAAAAGGATAACAGGGGTGACAAGTAAAATGGAAATTTAACCCAGAGGAATAGGGATTACTGTGACCATGAGGTTTTTACATTTGAATTTTTCTGCTCAGATTTTAAAAGGACTGGAGGAGCTTGAGTTTCCTCAGACTTCACAGTACATGGACATATTTAATGACACCTCCGTCCACTGGTTCCCTGTACAAAAGCTGGAACAACTTGCCACAGATATTTGGGCATTTAGGGAAGAACCAGATTATCAGGACTGTGAGGACCTTGAGATCATCATGAACAAGACCAAAGACCCTTCAGGTGCTGACCTGAACTCACTATAATGTACTCAGTGTTGGCTGAGATAGAAGCTGCCACCAGAGACTAAAGGAAAAGTCACCATGGAGGGAGTCACTGCAGACAACAGCTTTCTTTGCAGTGGCCAAAGTTCAGAAATAAGAACAGGAAATCTATCAACTTGGCTGTCCTGTTTCAAGGACAATACACCATGTAAGGTCTTGGTATAAAGATTTATGCACTTCTAAAGTAGTATCACTGTGTTTTACATCCTTCCCTGGTGACCTGGCCTGATGTGGAATATCTCCTGAATAGAGAGGTCACCGTTTCAAAGAGGATTTAAAATACTGTTTATTCCTAACACGTCCCTCTCAGGTTCAAGACTCCAGCCTGCTCCAGACCGCTGCTGTCTATTTGGCCATGTCAATCAGGCTCTGCAGGGAGGTGGGCACCCAGGTCTTCTCACCCTGGACAAATACCACCCCCCGGTCAATGTAGATCACAATGCGGCCAAAAGTGTAGAGCTGCTTCCCTTCGTGTCGCTTCCCAATTACAGGCATGAAGACAATGTTGTGCTCCTCAGCCTTAGTCTCAATGAGGTCCTTAAAGTTCATGGGCACAGAGCTGGTGGCCACACCAATGCCCCTCTGGGCCATGTTCTCAGCCTCCCGTCGCTCCTGCATGGCCTCATACTGGAAGTCCTTCCTCCGCTCTGTGTGGGTGAGATAGGCAATGTTCTCCCGCGCTCCTGGCTGCATGTAGGCACCTGAGACAGATGGAGTGGAATGGCAGTGAATAGAGGTGTTCCAAGATGTATGGAAATTGACACTGTTATGCTTGGCCCAGGCCTGGGTACACCAGACTGCTAGTGGCCCACTGAAGGGCCCCTCTGCCTCAAAGACACAAAGCAGAGATAATCAAAAACCTTTGGGAGAAGTTTAGGCAACTGGTTAGTCTCAAAAATTATTCTGAAGGTTTCTGGCTAATATCTTATAATCTGAGAAATTATTAAATATTCAACGCAAAACAAAATATCTGCAAGGGGTATTTCAGGTATTCCAGCTTTCAGAGCTGGAAACCTTGACAGCATTAGCCACTGTTCCATTCCCAAGCTGCCAAAGAAGCAGCTTTTAGTACACTGAAAAACATATGGCCTGTACTGGTTTTATATATATATATATATATATATATATATATATTTTTTTTTAAAGATAACTGGTAAAGGGATCTTAACCCTCAGCTTGGTGTTGTCAGCACCATGCTCTCCCAGGTGAGCTAAATGGCCATCCATATAGGGATCCAAACCCATGGCCTTGGTGTTATCAGCACCACATTCTCCCAAGTGAGCCATGGGCTGGCCCTAATAATGGTTATATTTTTAACTTACTCTTACAGACCCCCTACCCTACAAAAATTTAGAATGAATCTGGGGAGCTGAAACAGGGGTATTTAGAAGACAATATAGGACCACAAATGCCAAGTGCTCTGGGTCACAGACAAGGAACAGTTCTGGGAACATGAGGCCTGGGGTGGCTAAGGAAGACATGAAAATGGAGATGGCCCTCAAAGGGCCTGGATAAGTAGAGAGAAGCATAGAAGTATATTTGTCTCATTAAACATTATATACAGTTATACAATCTATGAATTCTGTTTTCATATAATAGGCTAGGTAGAAAGACTTAGAGACTCAGGAAATAGAAATTCCAGCCCCAACTACCACCCTATAGCCATATGACCCTAAATAAGCTCTTGGCCTCACTGAGTTTCTCTCTGAAACAAGGTTAGACTAGCTGCAGTTTCACTGCTGCACATGAGCTAACGAGCAGTACTGGCCTTTGCCTGGTGATGGTGAACTGTCTATTTGTGACACAATGACACCACTGTTGAGCACCATACATATTAACTTACTTAAATTAACCCCTCTTATAACCTATGAAGTAGGTACGATTACTGTTTTATGGGTAAAAAAAAAAAAATGGGGCTCATAGAGGTTAAGTAACGCCTAAGTGTTAGATTGTACCCCTTGACTCCACACTATGAGCTATTACACTTAAGAAGCACACCGAAGGCTGACTGAGCAGACACATGAATGGACTTTTTAGGCTACACAGCACAGTGTTTAAGAAGGTGCACCCTGGGGTTAGACTGACATCGTCTGAATCCAACTCAAGCCAGTCTCCATTCAGGAAAAAACACCCGTCAGTCACGGCAGATCTGGGCAGTGGAAGCTAGCTGACCACATAACTGTCTAGTGGGTAAGAGTCAGTATCTGTAGGAGCGGAGAGGAAGCTATGGTATAGGCACCTGAAAATTCTGACTCTGTATCACTTACTGTTTAGAAACATGGAACTTGGCCAGAACATCCAAAACACAAATCTTCACTCACCAACATTGGAGGACACTGCCCTGTTCATGATATCAAGTGCTTCATTAAATTTGTCTTTGACGGATGGATGTGCCAGCACTTGGTCTGAAAACATGGATTTCCAACCCAAGTACCACTTGGTGATCTCCTCATAATTGGGGCTGTTACTGAGCCAGGAACACAGCACCTGCCAAAAAGAAACAAATAAGAAACTTGCATCCACAAGTTTATATGGGAGCAAAATTTTTGAAGGGGGCCATCTGTTTCAATCCTGGTCCTACAAGCTGGTGACACTACTTTACAGGAGATGAACAGTCTGGCACTTAACAGTGTGGATTTTGGAGTGAGCTTGGTAGCTAAGTGCCCTTAAACATAAACTCGGAGCCTCAGCCTACATGGCTGTACAACAGGGATACTACAGTCCCTACCCCATAGAGTTGTGAGGAGTTGAAATAATGCAAATAACATGCTCAGAACAGCATCTGGCATATGACAAATGTTCAATAAGTGGTGGCCACTACTATGATTATTTAAAGCATTCCTACCCTATCATGTAATTTATTTTCATTATGTAACTGCACCTGCAGTCAGACCTTGGCAGAAGATTAAGTGAACCCTCTTCTCTACCCCTACCCACCAAAACAAAGCAAAAAAAGCATACCTGAAGCCACTTGGGGAAGAAGTGCTTTTCAAGAAGTCCCACAAGGCTGGAGACAGAGATCATCCCTTCCCAGTCTATCACCCAATAAAAAGCATCCATGTGCTGCTGGTGGGGGTTAATGACTAACTCACCAAGACACATCCCTGGAAAAGAGACCCAGGCTCTAAGACTTAGCTTTAATACAGGCAAAACCACAGAAGCACAGAGAGCAAATTACCAAACAATGTCAGTGTTTGATCTGTTTTTGAAAGTCAACTTTAAGCTCTTGACATAACAATTCTTAAAAATCATTTTTTTCCTCTAACCCAGAAATAACTCCCTAATAATTTACAATAAAATACCATAAAAATTTCAGAATACCAATAGCTATCCTGTTATTAGAAGCCAAAACTGGACCAATCAGGAAAACCACAAAGCACACTGAGTCTAACAATGTCACTGCACTTTTAGTCACTTCTATAAATAAACAGCAAAAAGGACCCCAAAGTGCTGGCTGGTTAGCTCAGTTGGTTAGAGCACAGCCTCACAATAACGAAGTCCTGGGTTCAGATCCCCATACTGGCCAGACACACACACAAACACACAGTCATACAAAAAGGACCTCAGTTACATCTATATTCAGCCTCAGTGTACAACATGACATCTATTTTTACAGTGAGAAATACTGTGTGCTAAGCTTTGTCATGAACTCAGAAGCCCAGTTTTGAAGACACAAAATCATTACTGCTAGCCACAGAAACCAGGGCACTGAAGCAGTTGGACTTGGAATGCATTCTTCCCATTTCCTTACCCAGCTTAGGCACTATGTTCTTAACCATGAATGCTTCCCAGGAGCCAGGGGTGAAGACATCTTTCCAGGGCTGGAGGATGAGCTTGGCAGAGGAGTCACTGGGGTGCCACTTCTGCAGGGCACTAGACAGCTTGCTGCGGATGGGGGAATAGAGTGGCTCCAGCCGTGCCTGCATGAGGGGCAGCCATGGGTGAATCCAAGAGTGGATGGGAACAGTGTCTGTCAGTGGGTTCCAGTTTTCCACCTGCAGAGTGAATAGGGGAAAGACACAGTTCATGAAGACTGGGGTAGTCACATGACACCCCTGTGTAGTTAAAGGCAAGCACTGTCCTGGGGGAGGAAGCTTCATGCTTTCTTGGTGTGGCCCACAGTCCTTGCATGTGTGTGGAGGACAGAGTCTCCATTTAAAGGAGGAAAACGTCAGATATAAAGAGGCGGCCAAAGTGCCTTGTAGGCATTTTATATTCCACCTAAACACAGACCTAAACAAATATACCCATTCAATTGTATTACATCTCAGAAACAGCATAATTCTAATTTTATTGAAGAAATCAAGAAAATGAATTCCCTCTTAAGGGGGATTTGGGGAAAACAGTGCTGAGAAAAAGGCTGTAATTAACAGTACAGGACAACAGTTGTATTGACAAATTTGGTTAATTGCATTTTAACAGCACTGAGATAATAAAGAGAAATACTAAGCAAGTCCCCATGGTTACTGATGACAGCTGTTTCCCATGACTCTTGCCTTACCTCCTTCTGCAGCTTGGGGAAGATGAGTTGGTCCAGTATGTTATCTAAGATCCACACAGGAATAATGTGCACCCAGCTATCCAAAAAGTCTACCATTGGATCACAATTTCTTGGCTGCCACTGGGTGACGATATTTCGAACAAAAGGCATCCAGACTTCCCATATCAACCTATGGGAGAAAGGCGGAGGACAGGCTGGCTAATTGCCTGGACTGGCTTCAAAGTACACAAAGTACACCACCACCACCACCCACCTCTCTAGAATAAGAAAACAAAGGCAATGGCATGGAGATCCAAATTGCAGAAAACCATCAGGCTGGTCCCCAGATTGGCCAAACCTGAGCCTGCCTCTTCCTGCTCTTGTGGCTGTCCTCTTACCTCAGAGGCCCGTCTCCTCGGTAGTGCCTGCCCACCTGGCAGTGTTGCTCAGGATCACTGGGGCTCTCAGCACAAGGCCCAATTTTCAGGAATGCAGTGCTTTCCCACCTACAGCCCTTTACCCACAGCTGACACCTTTCACCCTCTGAGTCACAGTTTAAATGTCACCTCCTGTGAAAGCCCTCTGTCCCAACTAAGTTATTCTCTATCACTATAGCCAGTGTGCAGCCTGTCTTTATTTGTTCATTTCCTTGTCTGCCATCTGCCTTTTCCTGTGTACTGTAGACAGAGGCTGGCTGCCGTACT